TTGAAGCTGAAGTATTCATTGACAGGTAGGACATTGCAATGTATGATTTTATATACCATACTTAGATCAGACCGAAGACGGCGTAATTCAAGGTTTTCTAGGTCTAGAATTTCAAGTCTGGTGGCATAAGGTATTCTACGAGTAGAGGAGTGGAGAACTCTTCTTGTGAAATATTTCTGGACTTTCTCAACTGTGCTAATATCAGATACGTAATGTGGGTTCCAGACTGATGAGCAGTATTCGAGTATTGGTCTAGCAAATGTTTTGTATGCTCTAGTTAGTAGTGTGATATTACCAGAGAAAAAGCTACGTAGGATTAGATTAACAACTCTTAATGCCTTTTTGGCTATGTAGTTACAGTGGGCTCTAGCACTTAGATTATTAGAGATGAGTATTCCAAGGTCCTTTACAGAGCTTGGATCATCAACAAGATCTTGACTATTCAGCTTGTATTTTATTTTCTGATTTTTTTTTTGCCAATATGTAAGACAGAACATTTATTTGTTGAGATTTGAAGTTGCCATTTGTTTGACCATTCTGATACATAGTCAAGATCTTTTTGAAGGGTAGCAGTATTATCTGTGGTATTGAACAGCTTTACATCATCAGCGAAAAGAACGCAGTTGCTCTTAATATGATCACAGAGGTCATTTATGTAGAGTATGAAGAGAGTTGGTCCTAGAACACTGCCTTGGGGGACACCACTGTTGACAGGTACAGAATTTGATAGGATGCTCCCAATTTTGACCATTTGTTGTCTGTTTGACAGGAATGTTTCTATCCAGTTCTGCACTTGTCCAGAGATTAGTTTTAGGAGTAGTTTGTCGTGTACCACTGAATCAAAGGCTTTACAGAAGTCTATGTAGATTGCGTCTTGCTTTGCCCTGATCGAGTTGTGTAGTCCAAATGTTTTTGCAGTGTAAGAGTTGCAGATTACAGGATAGTTTTTTCCTGAAACCAAATTGTTTCCTTCCTGCCTATAATCATCTCAGGTACAGAGATATTTGGAAGAACAAAGTTGTAGTCCCAATTATCAAAATAATTATGGTGGAATGAATGTACTGCTGCTGCCTGATGCTACAAAAAAACAACAACCCAATGTGCTTTGAGTTACTGCTTATCTTTCATCACAGAAATAGTACTATACAATGGTACCTTGGTACTCATTTGCTTTAAAAGTCATCAAATTTGATACTCAACGTATTTTGTCGTGAAAATTTTGTCCTGGTATTCATCGGTTGTTTGCTACTCAATGCATAAGTTAGAACTTGCCTTGTGACTCATATTAGTCCTTTTGGGAAAGGTCTGTTCGATAATCAGAGTTTTTGGTACTCTTTGCATCTTTTGAAACCAATTAAAAGTGAGTACCAAGGTACCACTGTTTTTCAAAAAACACTAAATGCTAAGCTCATAATCACCCAGAAATTAAAGATAAAATATACAAATCTTTATTTTTATAATGACTTTTAAAAATTCTTTAACATGCATTTCTGTATCCTTAATTCCATGATTTATGGCAGATATCCTTTTACCATTGTTTATCTGAAGGCATGTTCTGACCTGATACTTTCATCTCTGAAGTAGAAGTGTTGAATATTTATGACTGAAATCCTATTTATTACCTATTTATTAAACAAATTTATATAGCCACCCAACTCACGCATGGGTAACTCCAGGTGGCCTATAAAATTTAAAAATCCACTGCATAATAAAAATCCCCACCCCACGCCACCCCCATGGCAGCAATAACACAAGTCCAGCACTTTATCAACTCCATTGCTACTTGTGGTCCCAGGCTTACTGATGAAACCATGTTTTTAGGGCCTTAAAGGAAAGCAACAGGGTGGAGGCTTACTCTACATCAGAGGGGATGATGTTCCACAGAGGTCACCACTGAGAAGGTCCTTTTTTGTGGTATGATGAAATACTTGTCAGTTCCATCCATTGAAGTACCAATGTTGTACAGTTCTCCTCAACACCAATAAGACCAAGGAGCTTATAGTGGTCTATAGAAGGAACAGATCAGACATCCAGCCCTTGCCTATCAATGGAGACCGAGTGGAGCAAGTGGCCAGTTTTAAGTTTCTGTATGTTACCATAAAACAGGAGCTGACCTGGAGGTGCTCACATTGCAGCACTGGTCAAAAGGGCCCAGCAGAGATTATACTACCTGAAACTTCTCAGAAAACAACAATTGAATGAAAAACTGCTGATGACCAAGATATGGTAATTAAAAAAAATACAGGAATGTGCTGAGATGGACAGCCTAACCAAATTATTAAAAAATAACCAAGATAGTGATTATTACTCAGTATGGAATATCTGGTATAAGTGGTTAAAGAAAAGGTAACATCTGATAATTGGATAAGTTTTGAAAATAAGGGAGACGTGTTTAATTATAAAGTATGTAGAGAACTTAAAATATTAAAAGGACGAAGTTATTATAACAAGGTAGAACACGTCAATGATAGGGAAAAAACAAATGTAACCATTGCTCAACATGTGCTGTAAAATGTATATATTGCTCGCACAAGCACGAAGCCGAAAGCACCAGCCTGAAGATGGCGAGTGGGACCTCGTCAAAACGTTGCCAAGATACTCTCAATCTTACACAGGAAAAGACCCAAACATGCCAAGACCTGCACAAATGTATATATGTAGATACCGTGTTTCTCCAACAATACGCCCCCCATAGGAAGACCCAGCATGAAATTAAGTTAAATGAAATTAAGCCCTCCCCCCAAATTTAGGTCTATTTTAAAACGTGTGAAATCGGGGGGGAGGGTGGGGGGAACTTGCCTTTAGGAGTGCCCCACAGGCAGCCACACCTCGTCACCAGCCGCTCCTAACGGCTGATCATGGCGGAGTGAGGAGTGCTCCCTACCCCCAAGCACCTTTGCTGCAGACCCAGGTATGGTGCTGGTTGCAGGCCAGGTCAGCGAGCGGATGGCGGCAGTGTGGATGTCGGTCTCGGCAGGGCACTTTAAATTGTGAGAAGCTCAGCGCCCGCTGCTGCTGCTTCCTCCGCCACTCTTGCTTTCCCTTCGCATTCATCCACTGGCAGCATTTCAGCTGCTTCTCGGGCAGGGGAGCTGCCTCTAGCTTCCACAGTTCCCACCGGCACTGTCGAGAGAACAGCGGCAGTACTGATGGGATTGGTGGAAGTGTTTCAGCCACTTCTCGGGCAGGGGAGCTGCCTCTGTAGCTTCCACAGTTCCCGCCGACGCTGCCGCTGTTCTCTCGCCAGCACCGGTGGGAACTGTGGAAGCTACAGAGGTGGCTCCCTTGCCCGAGAAGTGGCTGAAATGTTTCCCACTCTCGCCAGCGCCGGCGGGAACAGTGGAAACTACAGAGGCAGCTCCCCTGCCCGAGAAGCGACTGAAACGCTTTGACAGTTCCCACCGGTGCTGCCGCTCTTCTCTCGCCAGCAACAGCGGGAACTGTGGAAGCTACAGAGGCATCTCCCCCACCCGAGAAGCAGCTGAAACACTGCTGGTGGAGGAATGCGATGGGAAAGCAAGAGCGGCGGAGGAAGCAGCAGCGGCGGATGCTGAAGTTCTTGCGATTTAAAGTGCCCTGCCGAGGCCAACATCCACACCGCCACCACCCGCCCACTGACCTGGCCTGCAACCAACATCACACCCGGGTCTGCAGCAAAGGTGCTTGGGTGTAGGGAGCACTCCTTGCTCCACCATGATCGGCCATTAGGAGCGGCTGGTGACGAGGCATGGCTGTCCGCGGGGCGCTCAAGGCAAGGGTGCATGGGGGGAGAAATTAATTCACCCCCAAAAAGACGGCCTAGCCGTTTTTTTGGACTCAAAAAAAAAAAAAAAGACCCTGCCTTATTATATGAGAAACACGGTATATATATGTTTATTTGTATGTTTTTAACTGTATGAGTATTAAATAAATTCTATTTTTAAAATTAAGAAAAAAAGAAAAACTGCTTGTGACCTTCTACCGCTGCACCATAGAGAGTATCTTAACTTACTCCACCTGTGTATGGTTACCAATTGGACAGTGGCAGATAAGACAGCACTCCAGAGGGTTAACATCATTGCCCAGAAGATCATTGGTTGCCCTCTCCCCTTTTTAGAAGAGCTTTACAGCTCCCACTGCCTTAAGAGAGTTCAAAACATTCTCAAAGATCCATCTCATCCTGGGCACCCTTTTTTTTGAACTATTACCATCTAGCAGATGGGACAGGATAATAAAAACAAGGACAAATAGGCTGAAAACCAGCTTCTATCCCAGGGCAATAACTCTATTGAATTCTACCGTATAGTGCAATATTAATGCAATATCAGGGATTTTCAATTCAATGTATAGAATGTGAAGGATTTGTTTTTGTGTTTATTTTCATAGTTATAATGTACACTGAAGATGGCATTTAATTTTGTTGTACGAGGTGCAATGACAATAAAGTAAACTAAACTAACTATTCTGTGTTATCTTAAACTCTTGAAAAATAGGGTATATATGCCTCAAATAATAAGTAAATGCCCATTACCTGGAACATTGATTTATAATTTGAATTTCTAGGGTTGCTCAATTGTCAATTCTATGGTTTACAGAGATTAACAATTGAAAAATAATACATTAAAACCACAAATAAAAGAAGATCATGCTAGGTACAGGAGGGTGAACTTAGCACCATTTTCACCTACTCTAGAAGGTCCATCCTAGGCCAGGGTCTAGGCAAAGAGCCAGGTCTTCTAAAATCTTTTGAAGAACAGATCTGGTGTATATAATATTCTAAATACATATGCTTCTTTTAACTTAGCACAGTGATCACTGTACAGACATGTTCATGTCATTTCTTTGATAGCAGCAGAGAAATAGTTTTCATTGCCTTTGTAGGGAAACTGTTTGTACCTCCCAGTCAAACATATAGCTCTGGGTTTTCTTGGCCTCCCATTCAAATAGCACATGTTCTGGCTTAGATATATTACACAGATAGTAAAAAGCATCAGTAAATCAATAAATGCTATGCACTTATATTTTATTTAAAATGCAGAAAACATTCAATCATTTAGTCAACTGAATTTTATTTTAACCTTTTTATCAATACTTACATATTGTAAGTGGCAGACAATTTGACATATATTAAAATGAGATTAAATATTCCTTATTGCATTAAATTGGACTACTATTCTTATTTTAAATTGACTTAGAGCACTTCCTTTTGGCAACACGGAAAAGGCGCATCGACATTACCACCTAAATACAATTATTTACTGCATATAGTAATATCACCTTTCTATTTATAGTAGTTTCCTTTATGGTAGTACTTATGTTAAATAATGGGAATGTATATTAAGAAAAGTTAGGAAGTTAGAAAAACTAACTATAGTTGCCTTGCCCAACCTAAGTATTCTCCAAATGCATAGGCAACAATCTAGGAATTTAAATTTAAATTTTTGAAGGGTGCTGTGAATAATAAAAGATGAGCAGGCAAAATATCTCAAAATAATGTTTAAAATCAATAATAATAATAATGATGATGATGATGATGATGATGATGATGATGATGTATTTTTAAGATTGTATTAACTCCTGGAAAAGTAAAAAGTTGAGCAATGTTTTTCTCATAAGTTAAACATCAAAATACACTAAAAATATTATTTCATTCAATGTGATAAATCAATCTTTCTTCTCCTGATCATTTGATTTTTCTGCAGTAACAGCTGGCCTAAGTGACATCAGGGGATCAACAAAAGGAAAAGCCCGGAATATCTTCACATATCTGAAGTAGCTGAAGATGACGAATCCCCAAAATAAAGTAATTAGCAACAAGTTCCAACCAGCAATATGAATCCAGTTTGGTCTGAAAAAAAATATAATTTGTACTTAAAAAAAAACAATTAAATGTAACAAAACTAGCATACAACTGATTAAGTGCAACAAAACTAGTATATAAAGCACATAGGCAGCCATCTTCCTGCACTGCCTCCAAGATTTTACAGAAAGCAAAAGGCTGTTCTCTGCATAAAATAATAAATGATCATTAACCTGACATCTGAAAGGCCGGTGTTAAAAAAGTCAATGAGAACAGTCCAGTCATTTTGTGCTTGTCTTCAAAAGAAGACTTCAAAAGGAAAATGAATTATAATTTATTAGGAAGTTCAATTTTATCTCTTAATGCTTGAATTTGGTTTTTTAAAAAAACTTTAAACATGTACTGCACTTAAATACTACATACATTGAATGAGCAAAGCAAGTTGTTTCTGTTATCAAAGTGGCAGGGAATGGACAGGGAACATCATTGCTTATTTTTCATGCACTTAAGTTTAACATGATTGGGATAGGTTAGCCTATGTTCTAGTAGTTTATTTCTATCTGATCTTGTTTCCAATTTTTCTCTCGTTTAACTGAAACTGAATAATTAAATTTATTCCTAGGACCTATAACATGGTATAAAAGGAGAAAACTAAAAGTCAATATCTGAAATACATTTTTCCACCACATCTGTTAGAAAAAGTATATACTGGTATCATAGATGTGCTTATTAAATATTGAATCATTAGATATAACTCAGCTGTCCTGTCCTGTGTATTATATAATTTTTCAACCTACAGCATATCAAAGTGAATTAAACTTACAAACTTAATATAGTACTAGTGATTTCTGTATATAAAGCAGTGATAGTTACAAACTGAAGGGATCCTTCTTAGGAACTATGTAAGCTTTTACAAGTTGCCTAGGAAGACGTATTCATTAGTCAATGTATCAAAAAGGTTATTTAAGTTGTTTTATATTTACATACAAAGAAATCTTATTAATTTCCTCTCATGTTTTCCACTGAGGTCTCTATAAGTATACATGTTGAAATTGTTGAGGTAGGCTCTACTCCCGTGATGGCGAACCTATGGCATGCGTGCCACAAGTGAGAGCCATTTGTGCTGGCACGCGAGCTGCAGGCAAACTTACCTCACTACTCATGCGCCTCACAGCTGATTTTTTTTCCGGTTGGTTTGAGGCCTTTTTCGGCCTCCCAGAGGCTTGGAAAAAGCCTCTACAAGGCTTTTCAGGGTGAATTATAGGCCCGTTTCGTCACCGGAAGTGATGAAACAGGCCTATAATTCGGCCTGAAAAGCCTTGCAGAGGCTTTTTCCAAGCCTCTGGGAGGCTGAAAAAGGCCTCAAACCAACCAGAAAAAAAATCAGCTGTGAGGCGCAGTGCAGGTAAGTGGGTGGCAGGGGGTGGAAATTGCACACGCATGCTCAGGGGGTGTGGAGAGGGGGGTGCACGCATTGTATTCTGGGTGCTGGCGCACGTGCAATTTTTGGCACAGAAGCTCAAAAAGTTTAGCCACCACTGCTCTACTCCAAAAGTGCCAGCTCTTGAATGTACAGAAAATTTATTACAGGACCACAACTTCTCTATATCTGTACCTGTTTAGTAACAAGAGATCAAAGCTGTTTCATTCCCCCCCCCCCAAGGTATGCATTTCATTGATAATAAAATTAGCTAAAGCCCGTTGGCAATTACCTTTCAATGATACCATAGGTCTGGACAGCAAAATATGTAGACAATTTACAAAAACTGAAACAGAGAAAATAAATGTATTAATATTTTGATAATATTGTCCTTGTGTTAAATTATGGTAAAACATTAAAATAAATGGAACTATAACATTTCTAAACAATATATAACCCAGATGATAGAGGGTGTTAAAATAAGGTTCTAGAAAATTAACATAAATAAAGAATTAATTCTTGTTAATTGTGATAGAGATTCACTTTGTATCTTATTTATTTGCTAACTCCTGTACTTCCTAAATTATGGATCAATTTTCAGTTCAAATTATGTATCTAAATAGATAGTCTCTGACTTATGACAGTTTAGGGACTGTTTGAAGTTACAAAGGTACTGAAAAAAGCACTGACCATTTTTCACACTTACATCTGTGCGCAGCATCCCCCTGATCATATAATTAAAATTCAGATGCTTGGCAACTGATTCACATTTATGATGGTTGCAGTGTCCTGTGATCATGTATGATCACCTTTTGTGACTTTCTAACAAGCAAAGTCAATGGGGAAGCCAGATTCATTTAACAACTATTAGTAACTTAACTTCAGTGATTTACATTACAACTGGTAAGAAAGGTCGTAAAATAAAGCACAGTTCACTTAACAGCTGTCTCACTCAACAACAGAACATTTGGGCTCAATTCTGGTTGTAGATCAATAACAATCTGTATACAAATATGTAGCTATTTCAAAACTAGTGCAGTAATTTGCAGTGTTTTCTCTGCAAATTAATGGAGAAATTGGATAGAGCAGCCATAATTAAATGCTGACTTAAAAATGAATTTAAATATTTCCTACATATGGGCTGGGTAATTCTGGGAGTTGAAGCCCATATCTCTTAAAGCTCATAAGGTTGAAAAACACTGGGACTTCCGGTGACATTGCGGCATGACGATGTAGGAGAACTCTGCTCCGCTCTCCTACATCGGGGTTTTTGTTCGTGGGTGACCGTTCGAGGTGGGATCAGATCCTGGTGGGATCACCCAAGCAAGGGAGAACTCTCGGAGCCTAACCAGGAACTGCAACCATGGAGGTAAAGAAGGGAGCCCAAAGCACAGGGCAAAAGAAGCCATCCTGTTGAGGCTGGCCCGAAGACGCGACGGAACAAACTTAAGAGGGAAGTTGAGAGAAGATATCGAATTTGAGTCCGGGAAAGATACTGGAGGCAAAATTGTTGTTGGATTATAACTTGTGGATAATTTGGGAAAGCGAGTGGTGAATGTCTGAAATTCCGATGCGAAAGGGGGAGAGTTGAAAGTGGTGGCAGGACTGAGTTGCCTACCCCCAGCTCTGGATAAAGTAAAACTTATTTCTAAATAGGAAAGTGAAAAGGAGAGAAGAGCGATTATAGTTGGTGAAAAACTTTTTTACTTCTAGCCATACAAACAAATCGCGGAGAGTACTTTGTGGGCGGACAAAAACTCTGAAACCTTTGAAATTGAATAGAGGAGTGACAGTGCAACTTGCAGTGGTGGCCATTGAGACTGGCAATTCCGGGAGAGCAGAAGAAGGCAGTGAAAGTGGTTGTTAGAACTGAGAACTGAGTCCTCAATTTATTATTGGATATAACCGGAATATCAAGGAAACGACAGGAAAGTAGCAGACTGTAAAGCCTCCTCCCGTCCAGTGTTCTCTTTTCTTTTTCTTTTTTTCTTATTTTCTCTTGGAACTGATTGAAGTGGCATAGATTCATTTTATATTTATTTATAGTATATATTCAAGTAACAAGAAAATAAGATTGATTTAACTTGAGTAAGTGATATTTAATCCCTTTGGATTATATTCTATAGTTTTTTTTCTCTTCTTTATTTTACATATATATTGATTGAATATAGATTAATGAATTTAATATACTGATTAATATAATGATGAGTTAATTGATTGTTCCCTCCCTCTCATATCCCCATTATACTGGATACTGTGATTTACTGGAACATAAAAAGTATTAATTTTAATTTTGAACTTTTATTATATATCTAGGGTAATATTAGCTGAAATATAGTAATTAATTAAAAAAGTGACGGGGGTTATATTATTGCTATATATTTAAGTACAGCTGAGTGTTTTTTCCCCTTCATTTTTCTCTTTATCTGTTAGACGATTTATGAACTGATGAGTTATTGAACATATTAAGACTAGGTATTGTATGAATACAAGGTGAAGGGAATATCTAGAGTAATAGGTGGGTTTGGAGGTTTGAATGCATAATTATTAATTGATAATTCCCTAAATTTAATGGTGTTAGGAAATTAGATTAAGCAGACAAACAATAGTCTAAAATAAAATATTACATAACTGCGAAAATTAAAATTGTAAAATACGGATAAGATTGATGGTAGTTGGCAATATAGTCTGGGAAAATATATCTAGGATACTGAAGGAGCAACAAAGAATTGTCGAATATATGACTAATACAACTACCGCTATTACGAAAACAGGAAGAAAAATGGCATCAACAGTAATACCATCTACCCCCACAGTAACACTGACCCAAAAAAAACGATTGAAGGCACCAGAAAATCCATGACCCAAACCAATACGCAATTGGTTCAAACTACATTATTAACTATTCAAAGCACGATGTTGGCAATGCAGGAGTCAATGTCTAAAAATCATACGGAAAGTAAAGCAGAAAGAGAAACAATGAAAGAAGAATTAAAAAATGAGCTAGGAGAAATGAGAAGTGAAGTTAAGAATTAGGATGGAAAGATACGCCAGATATAGGAATTGATTAAAATAAATGAAGAGAAGATTAAAGAGATTGAAAAATTAGCTGACCAAACGGAAAAGAAGTTGGAAGGCGTAGAACAAACAATTATGGAACAGAACAAAGAGACAAATGAGACCCTGACTCACCTTGCAATGGGCCCTCCTACTATCTAAGGTTCCAGAACGTAGAGTAAGAGAGGGGTGAGAACTTACCGTTGGTGATGACGAAGATATTGGCAGAGCTTTTGAATAGAGATGAGAATGAGATGGTGAATGAGCTGGATGACGTATATAGAGTGTATATCAGCTACGCGAGATGGCACAGACTACCCCGAGAAGTGCATATTAGATTCGCAAGGAAGCGAGTGAAAGATATAATTTATAGAATTACAAGAGATGAAGGAATAAAATATAAAGACAGAGAAGTGATTGTTCTAAAACAGATTCCGAGAAGAGTTTGCGAGCAGAGGAGAGATTATCGATTTCTCACGAATTATCTAAATAAAAAAAATAACTTTTAGATGGATCATTCCAGAGGGCATTTTAGTAATATGGAAGGAGAAAAGGGTGAGAATAGATAGTCTGACTAAAGATCAATAATGTTTTGATCAAATAGGAGGAATAGAGGAAGGATCGAGCAGCAGAGATGATCACGAGACCTTGAGTCAAGGAGAGTTTACAACTTAGAAGCAGGGGGAGAGATAGGGAGGAGAGGGAAGGAGGTGAAGAGATACTTGGAAGAGAAGAAATAGGAGTGAGGACTAGAAGTCAAACGACGAGAAAAAATACGGAAAGATAGAAGTAAGAAGGGAAATGGATAAAGGAGTGAATTTAATATCTATAAATATTAATGGGTTAAATGATCCAGTTAAGGGGAAAAAAGTATTTTTTAAGTTAGAAAAACAAAGAGCTGATATGATTTGTATTCAAGACGTTCATATTAAGACACGTAATCAAGGATATTTAGTGAATAAAAAACTGGGGAAAATGTATTCAGCATTGGCGGAAGAGAAAAAAAGAGGGGTAGTACTATATATAAAAGAGGACATAGCCTCAAAATTGATTTATAAAGATGAATTGGGAAGAATAGTAATGATAGAGGTGGTAATACAAAATAAAAAGACCTTATTAGAGGGGATATATGCCCCAATAAAAATCAAAGTGAATTTTACAAATTTTATATGAGAAATTAATAGAATTTGGTAACTCGAGAATTTGTATCATAGGAGATTACAATGCAATAACAGACAATAGCCAAGATTATGCCTGTGGACAAAGACAATGTAAGAAACGGAATACATTGCCTAAGAAATTTCTAGAGATGGTTGAAGAATTAGAACTTGTGGATGTGTGGAGGAAGAGAAACCCAGGAATATCACAGTCCACTTTCTACTCCAGCCCACACAAATCGTGGTCCAGGATAGATATGGCTTGGGTAAATAGTGAGTTATGTAAGGAAATTCAGAATATAAAGATTTTGGCTAATACGTGGGCTGATCATAATCCGGTACAGATAATATGGAAAAATAGTCTCAATAAAAAAGGTAGATGGACACTCAATTCACAACTATTGAAGGAGGAAAAATATATTCAAAAAGTTAGGGAAGAACTGACCAGCTTTTTCAAATTTAATAAGAAACAGGATACCTCATTGCAGAATCTATGGGATACTATGAAGGCATATTTAAGGGGAATATCGATAGCTTTTACAGCAAGTAGAAATAAGGAAAGAGAGGGGAAGCGGAAAGCTCTAATAAAAAGAATAGAGAAAATGGAAAATAAGCAAATGGAAACCCCGGGGGAATGAGCAAATTAGAAATGAATTAGCGCTAGTTAAACATGAAATGAATATTTTAGACCAAGAGAATTAATTAAAAAAATATTATATACAAAACAAAATTATTTTGAGCATGCAAATAAATCTGGTAGGTGGCTGGCATATAAATTAAGAAAAGAAAACCAGAAAAGAATGATATATCAATTAGAGGATAAAAATGGAATAATAGAGACAGACCTAGAGAAAAAAAAAGGAAATCGCAAGAGAATATTTTGAGGATCTTTATAAACAAGAGGATCTTTATAAACAAGACTTAAATAAAATATAAGAATATTTGAAAGAAGGAACTCTGTACCCTTTATCGGATGATAAAAAAGAGCTGCTTAATAGAGTAATAACTTTAGATGAATTAAAGGCGGCAATTCAAAACAAAAAAGAAACAAAACACCAGGGCCAGATGGGGTACCAAATGAATTATATAAAGAGATAGGTGCCACACTAGAGAATATGCTATTAGAGATCTGCAATGAGGTATTATTGGAAGCAAAAATTCCAGAATCATGGAAGGAAGCTTACATAACATTGATTCTGAAAGAGGGTGCAGATGCCAACCAAATAAAGAATTATAGACAGATTATAAAATTTTTATGGCAATAATGGCGGAAAGATTAAAGAAAGTACTTAGCAACAAAATTCATTCGGATCAAAATGGCTTTCTTCCCACGAGGCAGATTAGATATAATACAAGAATAATAATAGACATATTAGAATATTATGAAAAACATCCAGGAAACCAAGTGGCCTTGGTCTTCCTGGATGCACAGAAGGCTTTCGATAATTTAAATTGGGACTTTATGAAGAAGCAGATTAACTTGATGGACTTTGGAAGTAATTTTGTAAAAATGTTAAATGCAATTTATGCTACGCAAAAGGCTAACGTATTATTAAATGGAGAAATTACTAAATCATTAAAGATAAGGAAGGGTGTCAGACAGGGATGCCCTCTTTCACCTCTGCTTTTCATAACAATTTTAGAAACTTTGTTGGATAGAATTAGATTAAATAAAAAAAATCAAAGGAACCAAATTTAAAAGTCAAGAGTATAAATTACAGGCCTTCGCAGATGATATGGTTTTTGTCATAGACGACCCAATAGACTCAGGGTCAGTTTACTAAATGAAATAGATAAATTCGGTAAACTAGCAGAATTAAAAATTAATAAGGAAAAAACTAAAATGCTAGTTAAAAATTTACCAAATAGTAAACAAAAAAAATTGGAAGAAAAGATGGGATTACAAATTGTAAATAAGACCAAATATTTAGGCATCTGGTTAAGAGCTAGAACATTAAATCTGCGGGAGGACAACTACACCCAATTACTGAAAAAGATTGAAAAGGATTTGGAAAATTGGAATAAGATGCAAATTTCATTATTAGGCAGAATAGCAACAATCAAAATGAATGTTCTACCCGAAATACTATATCTATTTCAAACAATTCCGATATTATTGGATAAAAAATTATTTAAAGAATTAGATAAAATTGTGATGAAATTTATTTGGGCAGAGAAAAAAATGAGAATAAAAAAATACATTTACAAGATAACAAAAACAGATGTGGATTTGGACTCCCTGCCTGGGAGATCTATTATAAAGTGGTGGCATTAGTATGGATAAAAGATTGGATCAATTTGTGGAACAATAGAATTCTAAAATTGGAGGACCACGACTTACAATTAGGGTGGCACGCATTTTTGTGGAACCCAAATAGCCAAAACAATCTATACTTTACTAGACATGAATTCTGAAAGTCATTAATTAAAATTTGGGCTGACATCAGAAGAAATTATTATCCCAAAATTCCGAGGTGGTTTTCAACGATGGAGGCAATGTTCCACTTAAATACGATGGATATCAGTAAAAAACTGAAGTACCATCAAATATTAGATAAAGAGGGAAGAATTAAAATGATACAGGAACTTGAAGCTCTAGGGATAGTCATCGATAATTGGTCATATTTCCAAGTAAAATTGAGATATAATAAAGATGTAAAGGAATATGGAATTGAGGCAAAAGATACGCATTTAGACAAAATACTCTCAAGTCCTGAGAAAGGGTTGATTTCTAAACTATATAATTATATATTAGAACATGAAACAGCTGAGAGAATCGTGAAAGGACCTATGTTAGCCTGAGAAAAAAGTTTTGATCACAGTATAGATCTGGATGACTGGGAAGAAATTTGGCAAAAAAATCTCGTACTAACTAAATCAGTGGCACATAAGGAGAATTTGTACAAAATGATGTATAGATGGCATCTGGCACCCTCTAGATTGGCCAAACCCATGCTGTTGGAAATGCAAAGGTAAATTTGGTACTTATTTCCATCTAGGGTGGACCTGTCCTGAGACAAAGAAATATTGGTTAAAAATAAAAGAGTGGATAGAAGAAATTATAGAGTGTGGGCTGGAGTGGAAACCTGAACTGTTCTTGTTGGGAATGATTAAAGGGGATTATACCCCTAAAGTAAGATATCTGACCATCCACTTATTGACAGCGGCACGGATTTCATTTGCACAATATTGGAAGAATCCAAATGTATCACCAATACATATTACTATTCAAAAAACGTATGAGTGTGCCCAATTGGAGAGGCTCACGCTCAAAATCAATGGGAAGGAGGACACAGATTATTATAGGATATGGGATAAATGGTACAACTGGGTAAACAATAAAGGGAAAACACGTAAATGAACCCTAGAAACAAATTATATGCAACTGTCTTTATGAAATGTACAAGAATAACAAAGGTGTTAAATATTCTTTTCTTTTATATAATTATTATTATATTCACTATATCTTTTTATTTACTATTCAAAAATTATGAATTTATTATTAATTAATAGATAGTTATAATCCAATGAGAAGATTAGTAGAGTATTGCAAGTTACATAGTGATTAAGATTTGATAGTTAATGGAAATGTGAGAAGTATTGGTAATGATTATCAGGACGTATCAAATTCGATATCAAATGTAAAGAGGAATGTGTTATGTATACATTATTGGTTTTGTATTTTTAAATTTGTATGTTTTTAATTCTTGTAAATAAAGTTTATTTTAAAAAAATTGATCTAGACCAGGGGTATCAAACTCACGTCGTCACGGTGGCATCATGTGACATTGGGACTTTTTCCCCCTTCACTAAACTGAGTGTGGGCATGTGACACATCCAGCCCACAAGCCGGTAGTTTGACAGCCCTATCTAGACAGTTCCCATGCATTACAAAGTATGGTTGGACCATAAAATATAGTTAAAAAACATTGTTAAGTCTTGTAGTATAAAATATAAAATTGTATGCAAAGTATAAGAACAGTTGTCATAATATACCAGGAAGATTATGTCTAAAATGCAGAAAAAACATTCTAAATATGGTTGATTATTAGTATATTATTCACTAGTATATGTTAATAATGTTGCATGTTGCCCAAGTTTGATAATGGGTTGGAGGTGGGAGAACAAGCTGAAACCAGGAAAAACAAAAGTGCAATTGAAAAATAGGAACTAAATTGCAAGTTCCGTTAAAAGACATATCAAAATTATCTTAATAATAGTATCTTAAGAAACTGTAATAATGAGTCGAAACCAACAAGTTTAATATTAACTGAATAGCCTGAATAGAGAAAATCAAAGATATGAATATAGAACAAGGAAGATCATAGTGGGAAGCAGTGCATGCAAATATAAGAGTGTCTTGCGTGCAGTATGAAAATTCTCATCTAGAAATTCACTGAATATCTTTGCAGTATCTGATATAAATGTGAATAACACAAAATAATGAATTTTGTTCAACAAGCTGAAATTTGGACCCTCTGCTCTCTGTTCTGCACTGGTCAGGCTACACTGAAAATCAGTGAATATCTTTGCTGCATCTGATATAAATGTGAATAACACAAAATAATGAGTTTTCTTCAACAAGCTGTGTTCAAATCTTAGCAACTTGTTTGAGTAAGGATGTAGGCAGAGCAAAGCAAGCAAGATGGTGAAGGTCCAGGAAGGAATCACACACAAGAAAAAATTGGAGACGTTGGAGAAGACAAGATAACAAAGAGACATTATAGCTTTCTCCAAATATCCAAACAGCTGTTATGGAGAATGGAGTTTTTCCAGCAATGTTCTGTGAGAATGTGAGTGGATTTTGCAGGATTAAGACTAGGAGAAGAGGAGAACTTTCTCCCAAAGGAATAGAGATTTTTTTTCTTTACACTTTAAGGGGATATTCTGTAAATGACAGCAGATTTTTCTCCCTTAGTCTATTATGGAGATTTTTCTTTGCCCTATAGTGACTACAGGGGGAAAAACCACACCTCTTCACAGGAAAAAGGTGAAAAGAAGGAAAAAAAATAAATGGCTTAAAGCTTGCCTTGCAAATAATTTTTCCTTTGTCGCTTACTGACAGACTCCCCGCCCCCTTATTAGGATATAGAGGAAAAGGCTGGTGATACAGGTTTAAATTACAGTTGTAAACCTATGCACTATAACCACCCATTCTCTGATCTTCCAGTGTTAGAGCTAAGTGAAATTGTGGTGTTTGTTGGGAAGAGGGGAACAGGTCACCATTTGAATAGATATGGAGATGGAGATATAGCTATATCAATTAAATATACAGTACTATAGGGATACACATAACCATAACCATTTGATGACAACTTGTAGATACCCTGTAAAAAGTTAATTAATAAAATAAAAGTAATTTCACACTAAACATTGTGGAAGCATTCTGTGTAATATGCATAATAATAATCTTCCTTTGAGGTTAAAAATAATGAATATCTATCACATTCAAATCAAATTTTAAAAGTTAACCTGAAATTTGGATCCACTATTATCAGCTTGAACATATAAGTACTGGTATACTGAGGCCAAGTTAAAAAGTTCACACCAGAATTATTTAAGATCTCATATGCTTTATCCAGTTTCCTTAATTGTTGTGGTCTTTTTTTAAAACAGGACTTGTAATTCTGAAAAGAAAAATGGATGTGTTCATTTATTTAATAACATAACTTAGATTATGAAATATAAGTATTTACATTGTGTCCATTTTACTTTATAATACAAATAAAGACACAGAAAATAAAAACATCTTCAGAATTACTTATTTTAATTATAAGGGCCTTAAGAGAATCCACAACTCTTCTCCATAATCTTCCTGAATGCAATGGCTACCCGCAACAATACAGGGAAAATCTCCTGGAAACCATCTAGATCCATGAGGTCTCTAAGGTGACTATCCTATATCATGGAGCTCCCAGATGGCAATAACCCTCACCTGAACAAGGAAGTGATTTGACTATGGCGAAGTACACACTGTCATATTCTCCATATCCAGATCACCCACCAATGGCTCCAAAACAAAGATAATTCCAATTCATCTTTGCCTAAAGAAGCCCAGTAACAAGGACTACCACCACATAAAGTGGTCCTGCCAGGAAGAAGAGTAGATGATTCTTAAACAAAATGCTATGTCCTTGCCTGAGACTGACAACTCACCCACCACAGATGACTGATGTCTTGTTACAAATGGAGCTGGCATTTACCGGGACCAACTTGAGTTAGCTAGTCCTCTAACTTCCTAGATTTAGGAATGAAAGGTGAAGCTAGCCAGAATAACATCCAATACCTGTACAATCAGCACAGCCCCCCCCCCCCAAGGCTGTGTGCTACCTCCACTTCTCTTCTCCCTATATACCAATGACTGCATCTCAAACGATCCATCTGTTAAAATACTGAAGTTTGCTGATGACACAACAGTGATTGGTCTCATTCGAGACAACGATGAATGTGCATACAGACAGGAGGTTATACAACTTGCCTCGTGGTGTAACCGGAACAATCTGGAATTGAACACACTCAAAACCGTAGAAATGGTGGTAGACTTTAGAAGAAACCCTCCCATACTACCACCTCTTACAATACTAGACAACACAGTATCAACAGTAGAGACCTTCAAATTTCTAGGTTCTACCATATCACATGACCTAAAATGGACACCTAACATCAAAAATGTCATCAAAAAAGCACAACAAAGAATGTTCTTTCTGCGCCAACTCAGAAAGCTCAAACTGCCCAAGGAGCTGCTGATACAGTTCTACAGAGGAATTATTGAGTCTATCATCTGCACCACTATAACTGTCTGGTTTGGTTCTGCAACCCAACAGGACAGACACAGACTTCAGAGGATAATTAGGACTGCAGAAAAAAACAATTACTACCCACCTGCCTTCAATCGAGGACCTGTATACTGCATGAGTCAAAAAGAGGGCTGTGAAAATATTTACAGACCCCTCACATCCTGGACATAAACTGTTTCAACTCCTTCCTTCAAAACGACGCTATAGAGCACTGCACACCAGAACAACTAGACACAAGAACAGTTTTTTCCCGAAAGCCATCACTCTGCTAAACAAATAATTCCCTCAACACTATTCAACTATTACAAAGTCTGCACTACTATTACTGTTAATCATCTCATCACTCCTTATCACCCATCCTCTCCCACTTGTGATTGTAGGACTGTAACTTTATCGCTTGTATCCTTACTATTTAGATTGACTGTTTCCTAGTATGATTTGATTGTTGATTGTACCCTATGACTATCATTAAGTGTTGTACGTTATGATTCTTGATTCTTAACGAATGTATCTTTTCTTTATGTATACTGAGAGTATTTACACCAAGACAAATTCCTTGTGTGTCCAATCACACTTGGCCAATAAAGTATTCTATTCTATTCTATTCTATTCTATTCTATTCTATTCTATTCTATTCTATTCTATTCTATTCTATTCTATTCTATTCTATTCTATGAAACTGTGGAACCAGAAGTATAGACCAGAGGTGTCCAACCTTGGCAGCTGGCTGAGGAATTCTGGGAGTTGAAGTCCACAAGTCTTAAAGTTGCCAAGGTTGGACACCCCTGGTATAGACGAACCCTAAGCTGCAAGTTTTTTTTAAAAAACAACAACACTGTAATGATTTGCCCAACATTTCCCACCATATCTCTTCTTTCTATGATAGTCATAATTTGCTTACCTCCATCTCCACCCGCTAAACTTAAAGAGGCAACAACTGGCATCTAACTATCAATCACAGAGTTTCCTGCAAAGCCATGATTTCCCTATAGCATCATTCCTATTGTAACCATAATCAACACTTACAAGAAAACCCACACCTCTCCTAAGGAAGCCAACACCCGACAAGCCACTTTAACTGACCTATTAAAACCAACTAGATATATCAAATCCACATTCCTACTGTAGAATAGGAATAGTAAACCAACTAGAAAATCACTTCTTCATTCCTACTCTATGATATATTGTCAGAGCCAATATATTTTCTCATTTCTCCTATACTTCCATATTCTCAGGGGGAGTTCTTCAGTTTTGCCTCTCACTCAGGAATACAATCACTGCAATTCTTCTGATAGCTCCAAAGGCATAAAACAGCAGACAGATTAACAACAAAATCTCCTCCACTATGTTTGCACTCTTGAGTTACATCACTTAGCTGTCATCTAGAAAAATATTTATGGTAACAAACACAACTCAGAAATCAATAACAAAGTTAAAAGTAACCTATAAGAGTTGGATGCTTGTTTTATTTTAAATAAAGATTAATAACTAAATAGTATTAGATATATATTTAAAGACTGATTTTACTTATATTTTTTGTTATATGTTGATGCTTACATGAGGTCCCCATATCTCATCTACATCTTCAATTGTTTCAATTGATTTATTATATAATTTAATCATCTCATTCCAAGTCTGTGCAGTATTTAAACAATGTACCTGTTAAAAAGATAAGCACACAAAGCTCAGCCAAGAAAAGAATTCTAAGAATAGATAAACTCTATGAAGTTCTGGTAACTATATATGTTTAGAATATTACTCTATACACTAAGGATTATTTGAATTTTTGTTACAGGTAGTCCTCACTTAACAACCATTTGTACAACAACTATATTAATAATAAAATAGTTTACAGAAAAAAAGTAAACATATAAAAGTAATAAAAATTGTGAATAAAAGAAAGACAAGACTGAAATTCCAAAAAAGATTAAACTATAGGAAATATATTTTCTGACATAAAATATAAGAAAAATCATAGTGTCCATGATAACCACAATGATGTGATCGCTGACCTTGAGCCAGACCTCTTGGAATGTAAAGTCAAGTGGGATTCTTACCATATTTCCCCAAAAATACGACCTACCCTGAAAACAATCTCTAACCCAATTTTCATGCCTGTGCCTCATAAATGCCCCATCCCACAAATAAGCCCTAGGTTAGCCCCGCCCGCTTTCTGATTGTACGAGATGGGATGAGGCGCAGGCGTAAAAATCAAGTTAGGGCGGAGTTGGGGAATAGAGCTGCCCCATACACCTTGCACCCACTTACCTAAGGACCACTGTAACAGGCATCCCATGCTCTGATATCTGATGCGCTGCTGCCCAACTTCTGCAGCCACTTGCGGCTGCTCATAGCTGGACCCCATCTGGCGCACCGTGCTGATGCCGCCACTCATGGCAGGACACCATGTGGTTTGTCACATTGGTGCTGCCGCTCATGGCAGGATGCCAGATGGCTCATCAAAGCAGTGCCACCGCTCATGCGCACAATGGCACAACACAACATATAGCCTCTTGCCATGAGTGGTGGCATTGACATGGTGTCTGGCTGTGAATGACTACAAGTGGCTGCAGAAGAACTTTAGTTTTCATTCCTATAAAGTGTCAACCGTTTTTTTCCTTGACTCTAGCCATTGATACATTTTACTCCGGACTTCATAATACTCTGTCTTACCCTTATCTTTGATTTCTAAAGTTAGTCTGTCCATCTCTGCACAGACTAATATTTTCCTTATTATTTCACTTTCGGTAAGGGTATCTTCATTCTTCCAGTTTGGGCATACACCAATCTCACAGCTGTTATTATTTGTATCATTAAATATATTGTTCCATTACTGTATTTCACATTAATAATTCCCAGTAAGAACGTTTCTGGTCTGAACTCTACTTTCTGGTTAACCATCTCTTCTATCCAAACCTTTATTTTCCACCAGTATTTTTTTTGCTTTTATCCATTTCCAACACATATAATAATAGGTCCCTATTTCTATGTTACATTTCCAACAATGTGGTGATATACTTTTACTAATTTTGGCCAATCTAGTTGGAGGAAGATACCATCTGTAAAACATTTTATATTGGTTCTCTTTATACAAAGTTGTCAATGTTAATTTTCTATTTCTTTCCCATAACTTTTGCCAATTGTCTAACTCAATATTATAACCGAAATTTTGAGCCCATTTTATCATTACTTCTTTGACTTGCTCCTCCTCCATTTTATATTCTAGTAGATAGTTGTATATTCTGTTAATTATTTCCCCCACATTCCTAATAGCATCTTATCCAATGCCATCAATTCTCTCTGTATGTCCCATTCTTTCTTGTCTTTCTTGTATCTTGATTGGATTTGTAGGTATGCCAATGGTGGGCTGCACTTTCATTGATAGGGGGTTTGCTGGTTGTGAGTGCACGCGCCACTTTGGGGCTGCAACACAGCTTCAAACAGACAGCTAATCGACTTAGGCAGCTCCGGTGAGTACAGCAGGGCGATGCGGAACACACCTGGGCACTCTGGGTGAGGGAAAAGTTAGTTATTTAGGGAAAGCATAGCACAAAGGCAGGTGGGCGGGCCCAGCCAGAGATCACAGCAAGGGGTTCACCTGAACTCCACCGACCACTCAGCAGCCACCACTGCATACAACTGTGAAAGAATAGTAGTTGGGAAAATTGATTATGAAAAATTTAAACAACTCAAAAGAATCTAAAACCACTGCTTTTTGTTTCTATCTCCAAAAATGATTGTTTGTTAAGAAATGATGGCTTCAATAGGTAGAAGAAACAGCTCTGCTCAACTTTCTTTCCCCGTATCTTCTCAGTCCTAGGGAAGATAACTGTCAACTTTAGGAGTAGGCCAGGGTAAGAAACAGACACTAAAGAATACCAGAAATGGCAGTTTATTATTGTAGAGTAGAATAACAGAATCTTGAAAGCCTATGCAAGTTTCTCTTTATCCCGTCTTATAATAAACAACCAAGAGGGGATTATTATAAATTTCTTTTTTTCTCTGCCTTTCTTCCTAAGAAAGAAACCTGATCCAAATAGCTTATTTCAAAATGATAACACATAAAGTACAAAAATCATAAATCAATTTACCTTTTCCATAGTTGCTCTGTAAGCAAAGTCAGTCCTTCCATTCATCTCCCACAATATATAGTTTACATCAACTGGCATGGGAATTTCATCACCCCCATATCTGTATACAACAGAAGAACAATACCGTATATTTTCTAAGAGTGTAAAGCCATAGTAAGGATTCAAGTGTATGTAACTTCTGTCTACCTCCTTTCCAATAAATCCAGTTTTGCTAGCATTTGTCCTTTGTCGAATAATACTGGAACAGTTTTCCACAGACCAGAGAGAGCCCTCCTCCCCTTTCAGGGACATTTGTGGGACAAGGGTCTAAAAAGTCAAGATGACAGTAGTGACTATGTGATTGGAATCTGTTCCTTTGTGCACATATAAAAAGGGGTAGGTCTATAATAGGACAGTTGTGGCCACCATCTTGATTTCTTTTGACTCCTTCAATTCTTGTCATGAAGAGTTGGGGAAACGGTCTATAATACATACTTCCTAATGCATCTTTTTCTCATTCACACTGTTTTAGTTTTACTTACATCTCAACCTGAGGATGAAAGTCCTGAGTATAATGGCTCTGTAATGGGCAGCCATATGTGCCTATATCAAATATCACTTCCTATGAAAAAGACAGTTTAGCATGGTTAAAAAACAAAAAAAATGCATCAGTTAATTCACTAAAATAAATTAGTAATTCATACCTTGTTTTCTTTATGTCTTTTGTCTCTGAGATACTTTCTAATATGAGAGAAAGAAGTTCTGAATTGTAATTGTAATATTCCAGTATTAGACATTGCATTCAATATTCTTTATGCCATCTGCATTAGATAAATGATTCAGCCTTTCACCACTTTGTAAGGAATATAGAGTCCCCAGGTTTTTGATGGATCCTACACAATGTATTTTATACATATGAAAATGTAGAGGATGGATATGAAACAACCAATCTAATTACTATTATCAATAATTAAAGATATTTCCAGGATATGTGCCAATGAAATGTCTATTATTATTGTAGTCAGTTGCATGCATAGTCAGTCATCTTTAGGCTGGATTTGGAATTTTTATCCACCTAACAAATCTTTCCAAAGAACCTGGTATATGGGTAGATGTTTGATGGTGTTTAGGTATTGTCACAGATTGCAAATTGTTCCTAATATAGCTGCCTTTTGCAACTGACTCATTGTGATTTTGTCAATGCTGATGGTGCTCCAATTGGTTTGGCTGTCCTATTAATATCTTTATTTTCTTTTGCAGCGGTTATTCTATCTAGAGCTTTTAGTTCTATTTGAGTCTGGTCCACTATTCCTACTGTGTATTAATTGTCTCAATAGTACATTCCCCACTGAGTTTGGACTTTAAGATCTTCCTCATACTGTGTTCACTTCTAATCTTCTTGATTTCAGTGCATTTGATGTTGTCAGTTTGAAGGATGCTCAGCTATTTATAGTAATTATTTTCATCCAGAGTCTTTAAGTTATCTCCCTAGGACATCTGGCTTTCTTTCTTTCTTTTCACTATTTTTTCCCTGTTGATGGCGAGGGTGGCATTTTTGTCCAGTCCACATTCTATTGCAATTTTTTGGCTGTATGTACAGGCAATGTTGAGCAGCAATTTTATTTTAAATGTTTTTCCATGTTTAAATGCATGTGCGTGTAAATGATGTGGGGTAGTCTGGCAGGTGTTTTTGTTGTTTGATAGCCATGGTTTGACTTGATAGAGGAATCTGTGGAACAACAAACAAACACTAGTGGTGATAGTGAGTTTCCTTGAAAATATTTTCTTTTGATAGCAATAGCAGTCAGACTTATATACCACCCCATAGTGCTTTACAACACCCTCTGGCCAGTTTACAATATCAGCCTACTGCTCCCAACAATCTGGATCCTCATTTTACTGACCCCAGAAGCTGTGTCAACTTGATATTAATCTTTTCCGGTCTATCATTATTCATCAGCAACTGTGTCTTTCACTGCGTCCTTGATCTTTGCAGAAAGCTTCTGATGTTTCTACTGACTCATATGGCAGGGAATTGAATGCTTTCTTGTAATTAATCCATGCTATATTCAAGTTGATCTTCCTTCTTTTGTAGTTTTCCAAAATCATCTTTTGATTAGGAGGTGACCCTCTGATGGTTGGGCAATTTTCTTTCTGCTCAGGTGGGAAAAGTTTGTTTTCAGCTAGATCAGGGTGTCACGGAGTCATCATGTGACGTATCATGATTTTTTCCACTTTTGCTAAACCAGGCATGGGCAAGGCCAGCAGGTGATACATCCGGCCCATGGACTGCGAGTTTGAAAGCCCTGAGCTAGATGCTACTGGACTGCTACCACATCAGTTACAATTTGAAAGCTGTTGATAAGTGGATAATTGCCAGGTGCTGGCCTCTTTCTTCGATCTTTCATTATCAGGTAGGTTTTGCCAGATATTAACCACTCATCAATTTTACCTTTTGCAGTATGCTATTAAATTGTTTGGCAATGAGTGGGTGTAGACTAGTCAGATGTTTCAACCAAAAACCATGCAATTCATCTTTATTCGGTGGTGATCAGTTCTTGATCTTCCTTAACCTTTAATCCACCACTTTTGCTACTATTACAAGTTTTTTTAAGATGGTTTTTTAATTCTTATTCATCTTTTATTCAAGTTGCATTCTTGTTGTATGCAATCAGAACTGTGCTGTTTCTTCTTCGTTAGGTGTTGACTAGTTCTCTAAAGCCTGTGTTGGATTTTTAGAAACATTTCTTATTCAACTGAAATTGCAGGTTTTGTTCCGAACTAGTAGGCTCGTAAGCCTGCAAACCTGACTGGCCCCTTCCACAGCAGGCTCATAATCCTGCATATTTGATTGGTCCGTGAACAGCGGGTCGTGATTGGTCGTTCCGGACTGATCCGATTGGCTAGTTAACGGGCTGTCGCGATTGGACGCTCCAAGCGCGGCAAACTTAAATCATTGGACGCTTTGACAGCAGCGAGCTCTATAAAAGGAGCTGCTGCTGCCAGACTTATTGCGCTGTTTTTTCTGAAGTCACTAATAAAGAGTTGGAGTCACTATTCGATGTCTCGTCTCCGTTATTGCGCCCACTCTCCAGGACAGAACACTGGCGACGAGGATGGGATTCGGAGACGATAGAGCTGACTGAGCACTCGCGAAGTTTTTTTTTTTTTAAAAAAAAACAAGTTTTATTTTCAAGACAAACAATACATAGATACACATAAAACAAAACATAAAAGCATAAAAAATCTCTTATCTGAAAGTTGATTAGTCCCGGGTTAAAACTCTTGGTACAGACACAAATTCAAATTCATATTCATTTTACATACCATTTCATATCTTATTAACATTTTCAGTTTTCTATATGTCTTCTCCTCTCCTTTAAATTTTCTCAATTTTATTTTATTTTATTTATCTCCTCTCAATTCATATCATAATATTTATTCTTCTTTGTCTGTTCTATTCCAGCCAGCCCTTTATTTTCCTTCTTTAAAAAAAAGAAAAAACTTCTCCTGTGCACTATATGGAGTATGATGCCTTTATCTCTTTCCCCTACATTTATAATACTTAATATAAAACACATGACATATATTGGGATTCTGTCTGGTACATTCTAAAATTATACTATATTATCAAAAATAATACAAATCTATTCATTAGTATTAATATTCATTCATATCTTAAACATTTAAATCATTACTAATGTTAGGGTTTGGGAATTAACCCCTAGCAGAGTATTGCAGCAGTAGTCAAGCCAGGCAACCAAAGGAGAGCGGAAGGGCCCCAGAGTATACACACACTGAACACAAACACTGTTTGTAGTTTAAATAGTTTTTAATCCAGTTAGAGTTTAAGCATTGTCATTCAGTCCATTAAGTCATTCACAGTATTTCCATCCAGTAAGACTCACTAGTATAGTCCAAGTTAAGAGTCCTTGCAATATCTTTATCAGCCGATAAAGATATCTTCTCCTCCTCCGGTTTCACTCTCCAGAGAAAAACAAACGCTGGATATTCAGCAAACAGTAGCAAACAATAAACAGTTCAGTCACAGGCACTCACAGTCAGTAATCTCAGTTAGTCGCAGCAGCACACAGTTACAGCCAGCTCACAGTAAGCTTTCCAGCTTCTAATGCTTCCTTATATAGTAACTTCTAACCGCACCCTTAATCGGCTAATTGCCTGCTGCATTGTGCTTAAAGTGATAAGCACTTAAACCATGATATCTAAGTTTTATATATTTATTCACCCAAACCATATTTGGTATCAATGTTATACCTAACAACTTTTCAATTAAATCACATACTTTTATGGGAGCCCTATTTTCCATAGTTATATATTATATCCCTCATCATATATTATAGCTCATTATTTCATTAAAAAGTACCTCCTTCTTCTACTTCAATTCTCATTTCACAAGAAATTTCGCTAGTATACCATATTCTAATCATTAATATTAACAATCATTTATTTCTTAAACATTTTATCCATTTCAATTAAATATCATGCCTTTATGGGAACACTTATGCTTTTCAAAGATTATTACCCCCCCCCCCCCACATCACAATCTTAAATCATGTTTCGTTACAGTACTCCCTTTTCTTAACCAAAAATTTCACTAATTTATGTTAAATATTTTATCACATTTTAGGTTACATATTGTTTCTAATTTTCTATGTTTACTTCTAAATACAAGTATAAAAATGCAGTCTTATGTATCTTTCTAGAACCCCTTTAACCATAAAGCTTATCCATTATCTCTAAAAAAATTTTGCTTCTTAACATCTTGCTCCCCACCATTAGGACTTCTCATCCCTTCCTTTCTTTCTTGTTTCTTCTTCTCCTTATCCTCTTTAACCCCTTGTCTCTCCACCTCCCTTTTATTCTGCTTTCCCCCTTTCTGTTGTTTCTTAACATAATGTCCCCTTTTCACCTTATTCTTCTCTTTTTGGGCTATTTTTCCAGATCTTAAAGACCTTTTTCCCTTTTTCTCTTGCTTTTTCTCTTCTCCAGTCAAAGTAATTTGTTCATCAAAGATGGCTTCTCCTTCTTCTTTGTCCCCATCATCCTCATTCTGCTTCACATAAATATAAACCGCCATTTCCAAGTATTGAAAAATAGTGTCAAGACCATCTTCCCCTCCTTGTTTTTCTCTTTCAAATTTTTGATATATAAGTTCCAATTCATCCATAGATGATGCCATTGTGTAGAGAAAAAGTTTTTCCAAACAACCACCCAGATGATTTAATCAGAAGTAATTTCCAAAGGTTCCAAAGTCACCAAACAATCCAAACAGACTATTTCTTTTAGATACCTTCTTCTTCTTCACTTTCTCTTTCTGGGGTTAAAGTAATCACAAATCCTTTTCAAATATATTTTTTGGAAATTTTTAAACTCTTTGTAATTCTAGGCAATCTTCTTATTTTCAAATTTTGCTCTAATTCTTTTTTTCACTCTCCCTTCCCACTCACAGCCAAAAAGATTTTTGTTTTTTTCCACTGTCACTTTAGGAAGGAGAATAGAACAAAGAAAAAACTTTCCCCTTTAGAATATTCGCAGCTGAAAAACTCTCACAGGGAACAATATATACTTAGCAGCCTTCAAGATTCCAGGTCATTTTCTCCCGTCTTGTCCCGGTTAGAATCAACTTTCACTTTTCTTTCAGCTTCCTCCCTCCTGCACCTGCTTGTCCGGCTGCAGCTTTCTTCGTGGCGGCCATTGCTGACTGCCGTTCCTCCGCCTCGGGAAAAGGGGGTTTAGCCGGCTGAGGAGGGGGTTTGCGACACCCCCAAACCCCTTGCTGGATCCCCCCTGTCTTCAGCTGCCTATGCGGGGCAGCTATATCCCCCAGATCCAAATGGATCGGGGGAACCTTGACGGTGAACGCAGCAGGGATCGCGCGGTCGCGAATTCCTGCCGCCGCCGAAAGGTTGCAAACCGGAAGTCCCCAGCACTCGCGAAGTATTGACAGAGCACGTGGCTGACGGCGCACAGATGGCGACAGAATGGCCAGCAGCGTTATACCACCCGCTCCATTTGATCCAGCTAACGAAGATTGGGACTCGTATATGACAGGTTTCAAATGTTCCTGGAAACTAATAATCTGAAGGATGCTACACCTAGCAAGAAACGTGCGGTTTTCCTAATGCATTGCAGACCCGCCGTTTTTAAAATGGCAAAGGCGCTTGCAAAACCGGCTGAAGTCAAAACAATGGATTGGGATACCCTTGCTCCCATCCTCAGGGCACATTACGCCCCAGCAGTTCCAACCCTCATCAGAAGACACGAGTTTTACCAGAGGGACCAACGGGAAAGCGAGAGCATTGGGGACTTTGTAGCTGACCTAAGAAATTTGGGTGGACTATGTGGCTTCGCAAATCTGGAAGAAGCCATGAGAGATCGGATTGTCCTAGGTCTAAGAGACCTCACCATCCAAAGCAAGATTATGGCAAAAGGAAACATTGCCCTCGCAGATGCCATAGCAGATGCTACTGCAGCAGAAGCAACCAGGAAGTCAGCAGCCCGAATGCGCCGAGCAAATGGGACTAACCGCCAACTCGCTAGCGATACTGCAATATCCTTTGAGAGACACACAACAGCCGCCCACCACGAAGACATCGAGTCCTCATCGGAAAGTGAAGAGGAAGAAGTCAACAGACTCAGATCAGAGCGCGATCAGCGAGACCAGCGAGATCGTAAACCCAATTTTCAATGCGCCGGATGTGGGGGAAACCACCCACGAGCAGACTGCAGGTTCCTAGACGCCATCTGTCGTTCCTGTGCATTTTGAGCTTCATATCTGCTGATCTTCATGCTTATAATTGCTAATAAAGCTGTTGCTTTATTATTTCTAGGACTTTCTTAACCTTTCTTGTTTCTAGGTGGTATTTCTTAATCTGGCATTCTTTGATTTTCTTGTTCTTCAGCTTCTTTTGTTTTCCAGTCTGAGTTTCCATTTTGGTGATGCACTATTTGTCTTTTTTAAAATCAATTCTTGCTACTTGGTTTGTGGGAAGATTATAAGTAAAAAAGCCTTTTTGGTCCATTTTTAAGCTCAATATTCAGAATTAGGTGCAGTTTTAACCATTTTAAATGTTTAGCATAAATGTAATTCTTATGCACTTCTTACCGAGGTATAGTGAAGGTAAAATTCTCACACACTGAAGGTTTCCTATGATAAAATAGAAAAAGGTGTTTATATAATACTTTAAAAAACGGCATTGCCTGAACATGACTTTTAACCTTCTGTTTCAGTGTCCCCAAATCACATTTTCAGGTTAGTTGGTTAAAACTGTAAAAGTATATTTATAGATCAAATTCTTTCTAGTGAGATAGATACAGACAGACAGACAATGATAGATAGATAGATACAGTACCAAACAAAACATTTTACACAATTCTCAACAAATGTAAACTGCTAAAACTCTTAAGTGTTTACAATATTTTAAAAGGCTATGAGAAGGTAACTGGCTAGAATTTCCTTGAAAAATTCTCACTTTTTATTTATAATTTTTATTAAACAAGTTTTCAACAGAATAACATTTTCAATTTTTAATAAATGGAAGGCATTTTATATGCAAAAATGAAATAAAATGCAAACCCAGGTGCACTGTTTATTTTAAAAGCACATAAGAAAAAATGTTTTATCCTTACAGAGGGCAAGCAAGGTAGGAACTCCCTCTACTGATAGAAGAATTCTGAATTTTTTAACTCTGATTTTCACTTTTCACTTGTAACTCTTACAAGAACTTTGTTCTTAATTCTGTTTTTAAACTCTGGTTTTAACCAGAGTTGCTAAGGTGAGATGGACAATATAGAAATTTAACAAATAAAAATAATAAATAAACAAAAAGTTCCACAGTGTGGGAGACTGCCATGAAGAAGTCACAATTCCAGCCTTTTCCCCTCTTCATTTAGACCTGCTTCCCTCAGGATGAACATATGAACACTGAAACAGCCTAATTCTGAAGCAACGCTGGATGGACACGATCAAGGCAAGCAACGCTGGATGGACACGATCAAGGCCGATCTAGAGATCGCGAAGGCAGACCCGACATACGTGGCAGACAGAGAGGCGTGGAAGCAGTACTCAAGGACATTAGCGGACCTCGCCAGAGCGCGAGACAAACGCTGAAGAAAAAGAAGAAGAAGAAGAAACAGCCTAATTCTGGTGAAAGAAGATGATCCTACTAGTACCTGGCACTAGGGATGGGTTTCTACCGGTTCTGTCCACCTCTGTAGAACCGGTAGCTCTGAAGAGCAGCAGACATAGAACCGTTTCTGTGTTTGATGATGTTTTTCCCCACCCATCCACCCAGGCTCTTTCCTGACCTTTATTTCCTTATTTTTTCAACTTCAGCTGCCGTGCGAGGCACAGCTGCAGTTAAAAAAGCAGGAAAAAAGGGCTTTTTGAAAGGCTGCTTCTCTGCACACAGCATGCTGATGACGATTTACAGGCGTGCCGGCAGTGTGCAGGGCAGCACATTGTAAATCACCGAACCTCGTAAATGACCAAACTGGTAGTTAACCCTGTCGGATCCCACCCCTGCCTGGCACTAAAGAATGTAGGGATTTAAAAGTTAAACAACAACATCTTGAAATGGGTCCACAGACCTATTGGTAATCAATGTAGTAATCTAAATAAGCCTAGACATCACACTGCTTAAAGCACTTCCTGTCAGCAATCAGACCATTACATTTTGAATCAGTTGAGGTTTCAGAGTCTTCTTTTAAGGGCACACCAAATAAAGTATATTGTAACAGTTTCGCCATAGGGTGATGGAATCACTGTTGCAAGGACATTGCAGTCCAAATGCTTGGGTGTATGACTGTGAGTGACTGGAGAAGGATGGCAGAGCCCTTAGGTCTTTGAGCAAGGGGGTTGGTGAGAAGAGGGAATGATTATTTTGGGGGATATAGGGCAGGACAATATATCTCAGTAGTGATGGGCGTGGGATACAAGAACCAGAGCAGTGGTGGGATTCAAAATTTTTACTACCAGTTCTGTGGGCGTGGCTTGGTAGGTGTGGTGTGGTTTGGCAGGCGTGGCTTGGTAGGTGTGGTGTGGGTGTGGCAGGGGAAGGCTACTGCAAAATCCCCATTCCCTCCCCACTCCTGGGAGAAGGTTGGTACAAAATCCCATTCCTTCCCCACCCCACTAAGCTGCTTTCCAGCTCGTTCTCCTGTGCAGGGCAACAAAAGAAGACCCAGCCAATCAGTTGAGACTCAGGAGGTAGAGAATAGATGGGGGCAGGGCCAGTCAGAGGTGGTATTTGCCAGTTCTCCGAACTAAAATTTCCACTACCGGTTCTCCAGAACCGGTCAGAACCTGCTGAATGCCACCTCTGAACCAGAGGATTGGCCATTACACAGGAAGATGCCCCTGATGATAAAATAGAAAAAAGTGTTTATATAATACTTATATACTTATATTGGTGATGTGTTCCAGCCCCCTAAGCTCATCCTCAGTTCCCAGACAGTATACCCTTGGAGGCCCTGAGGTTCAGCTGCAGCTGCTAAATATCAAGTTGGTTAATAACAAGGCTAGCCTTATTCAAGATCTCATTCAAGAAGAGCAAGCCGACCTGATAGCAGTATTCCAGTATTTGAAGGGCTGCCATAAAGAAGAGGGGATCAAATTATTCTCCAAAGCACCAGAGGGCAGGACAAGAAACAATGGTTGGAAACTAATCTAAGAGAGAAACAACCTGGAATTAAGGGAAAATTTCCTAACTTCCTAACAGTGAGGACAATTAACCAGTGGAACAGCTTGCTTTCAGAAATTGTGCTCCATCACAGGAGATTTTTAAGAAAAGTCTAGACCAGTGGTCGCCAACCAGTGGGCCGGGGACCACTGGTGGTCTGTGTGAAAATTTTGGTCATCCACAGAGAAATGTCACCCCCAAAGCAATTGTATTGCATTGTAAACAACACGAAGTAGTGAGGGGAGGGGGGAAAGGGCAGAGGGGGGAACTTGCCCCATATGTCCCACATGCTTGGCCTTACCACCGGGCTGCTTTCCACTTCTATCTTTCTTCGGCTTTTGGCTGTGTTAGGAATGTAAGTCACCTAACAGGTATTTGGGTTAGCAATATATAAACCAGGATAGACATTTTAATACTGTCTCTTTAAGAGAATCCTAAAAGTGTAATTGGGTGTGGTTTCTCAAACGGCCATAAGATGGAGCCAGAAACCTGGGTTGCTTAATCTTAGTCTCAGAAGAAGTCTCAGTGAGTCACTGTTTCCTTCTGTTGGAGAATATTACCGTTTCCTCTTAATTGACTCCTATTCCTGGATTTGATGTAAGTCTGATACTAAACTGTTTTTGACACTGGACATTGTTATTGGATTATCCCTGGATTGAAAACTGACTGATTTACTTGTGAATGACTTTGGATTGCTTGTTTGGACTTTGCTTAAACCGTTTCTGGAAGTAAAAACCTACATTTACTGTACAGTGTATCTGTGTGCTGTGTGTGTATTATTCAAACACTACTCTCAAATACGTCTCCCTGTATGCACTCATTCTCCTAATGGGGAATTACCTTAACAGGCTGCACTCAAGGAAAGCAGCAGAAGTCGTTCTTTCTCTCCCCCAAACTCCGCCAGAAATGAGACTTTGGGACCTTGCACGGCATCCTGCTCCAAGGGGCTGTGCCGCCGCGACAAGTCTCACAAAGACTTATTTCTGGTGGAGTTTGGGGGAGAGAAAGAAAGGCTTCTGCTGCTTCTGCTGCTTTCCGTGCATGAAGCTCTCCCCCTGAGAAAGGAGCTGGAGACGGTATCCTGTGATCCCAAATAAAGAATAATTGATTGGTAGGAAAATGGAATGGGGAATTTTCCTGCAGACTTTTTGGGGGGATTTTCCCAGGGTCTGTGGTCCATGGGATTTAAAATTATGAGTTTGGTGGTCCCTGAGTCCAAAACAGTGATGGTATGCTACTGGTTCGGCCCAGTACTGGCGAGCCGGTAGCACCGATGAACAGCGGAGACTGAACCAGTTCTCTCCACCACTCTGCTGTTGGGTCCACCTGCCCGCCTGGGCTCCCATACTCACCTTTATCTGCTGAATTTGAAGCGTAGCTGCTTTGCGCAACACAGAATAGTGCCACGCGGCAGTTGCTGAAGTGACCGGGATCATGCAGGCTTGCAGGAGGTGAGTTAGAATGCCTCTTTGCCTGCGCAAACGGCTCTTCGCCTGTGCAAAGTGCACATTTGGTGTGTGCACGCATGCTAAGTGTGTGCACGTGCGCAAAGCATGCCCACCAAGCCACACCCACCGAAACGGTGGCAAAAATATTTGAATCCCACCACTGGTCCAAAAGGTTGATGACCCCTGCTCTAGTCCAACCCCTGCTCAAGCACGAGATGCCAAGCCATTTCAGACAAAGTTGTTGTGGCTTGTCCAGTCTCATTTGAAGGCCTACAGCGATGGAAATATCTGAAGGCAAGCTATTCCATTGATTGATTGTTCTCACCATCAGGACTTTTCTCCTTAGTTCTAGGTTGCTTTTCTCCTTGGTGAGTTTCTATCCATTGCTTCTTGTCTTGCCTTTTGGTGCTTTGGAAAAGAGTTTGACCCCCCTCAGCTTTGTAGGAGGCCCTTAAATATTGGAACACTGCTATTATGTCTCTCCCTAGTCCTTCTTTTCATTAGACTACCCAATTCCTGTTATCATTCTTTGTATTTTAGCTTCCAGTCTCCTAATCAACCTTATTACTCTTCTCTGCATTCTTTCCAGAGTTTCAACAAGCTTTTTATAAAGAGCCTTCTTTACAGAGCTTGAAATTTGTTCTCAGAGAAATTGTAAAAATCATGCCTTAGATATTAATTTTATAAAGGAAATATGTTTATATGAAAAGTTTAAATCTGGAAATTTTATGAAATGAAGGATTTATTGGGCACAAATCCATACACGTAAATCAAAACACAGGAATAAAGAATTATAGATTCTACTTTCTTCTTGTAACAGTATAATACACAATCAAAATACTATATGGCTAATAAAAATATTTATATTTGTTACATTCACAGACACACTAAACATTTTATTGTTTTAATATTTAGCTTTGTTACAAGAAACATAAGCAGATAACACAAAAGTAGAAAAGGAACACTTACTTGTTTACAATTATGCTTTTCCATGGAGGACAGCCAACACGTATGTGAGAAAGCTAAAAAAAACACACCACAGTTAAAACATCCACACGTTTCTCAAAGTAGTTGCCATATGCCCAAATGTTGTCTGTTTTTCTTTTTAAATCATGCCATTTCTTGCTTTGATTTCAAAAAGTGTCCAATCTATTCTTTATAACGATGGGGTTTATGTGTAAGCAGTAATTGGAGAGCAAAATATGGTTTTTCAGAGAGAATATCTCCATATTTTATCCCCACAATATTATGAATTAAGTTGGGTTGATAGGGAATGACAGCCCGAGATTGAGTTTCTTGATCATATGATCATATTTTAATTATCATATTTCACAGTTTCTCTGGTTTTATGAGATATTGAAGCCATTTGGATATTTCATTATTGTTGTGAAATAATTAGGATTTAGCTATTAACATTTAGGGCACTATTTATTAGGCTGGGGGAGAATATGACCAGTTCAAATGGCGTCTTTGTTTGAGATGTGCATATGCCCAGAGTTTCATTCAGAATACTTTTACAGCTAAGAAAAAAAAATGTAAGTCTATTCCTCAAATATACCACCAAAGTTCCCACCATCCACCCAGAGCTGAAAAAGCTTCTTGGATGAGAAGTGAAATATCTTCAAAGAAAAACCAGAAAGTTCCATTGCCTCTTGAAAAAAAAAGCACCTTCGGGACAACCATGACCTGGATGACTGAGAATTTCCATATACACACCACCAAAGGTACTGATTCCCAACTTCTTTTGCAATTTAATCTTTCAGATAATAAAAAATTAAATATAACGCAGAAATGCAAGTACTTCAACACCTATAGAGGAGAAGGAAAATGGAGAGTGTGACTGCACAAGTGGCCAACTGAACAATTACAATTATAAGTCTTGTCTCTGAGCATTCCTACCGAAGGCTGAATAGCAAGCTCACTTACAGGAGACAGGGACACAATTAAAAGTCAGAAAACTAAACACACCTTTCAAAAAAGATGTTGGTTACAAGGAGGGATGGAAACCACTACTAATTTTTATTGCAGACATTACTAATTCTTATTTTAAGGGAAATAGGGGTGGGATTCAAATTTTGTAACAACCAATTCTATGGGCATGGCTAGGTGGGAGTGGCTAGGTGGGCATGGCTTTTTTCTTTTTTTTGGCAGCACTCTCCCCCCCTCCTGTTTTTTGGGCCTTCTGGGCTTCAGGCAAGGGAAGCCTCCTGCGGGGGCGTTTTTCTCCCAGAAGGCTTCCCTGGGGCTCAGGAAGGGGAAAAAATGGATCCTAGGAAGCGACATGCAGCACCCCCCTGTGCTCTGTTCTGGGGCCTTCTAAGCCTCAGAGAAGCCTCCTGGGGGGTATTTTTGCTCCCAGGAAGCTTTCTTGGGGGCTCAGGAAGGCAAAAAATGGAGGGGGTGGGCCTCAGGGAAGCCTCCTGGGCGAAGCAGTAAATTAGGGGAATCCCAGCACAGCTGATCATAGGAACAGCTGATTGTCAGGAAGGGGGGAAAAGAAATACTTTAAGGAGTGACTGGGTGGGGAAGAACATAGTCAGCAATGTCGGGCATGTGTGCTATGTTGCGCATGAGTGATAAGGACTGACTGGGCAGGGAGGGGAGGGGTGGGCAGAGAGGGGCAGGGCCAGCCAGGGGCATGATTTGCCGATTCTCCAAACTGCGCAGAATCATAACAACTGGTTCTATAGAATCGGTCCAAATTGGTAGAATCCCACCCCTGGAAATAAAATATGTAAAACTGAGAAGAATTAAGTGTTATCTTCATCATTCTCAATGATCATCACAAATGCAAGTTTATTGTGTTACCCTGCTGAGGTAGGAGCCAGTATTTGTACAATATAGCCTGGCCACACACAAATCCACAATCCAGCTGAAGATAAACATCAAGAAGAAGATATAAAAATCTCCTTGAAAAAATATTTTTGAAGAGATACCTAAAGGTGGAAATAATAAGATCTTGGATTATTGTTTAATATTGAAGTTATAATGTGATGGCTTCCGGTCTAGAAATAGTTACAAAGAATGCCTGTTTACTTGATTGTAGTACTGATACAAAACCCTTAGAACACTGAAATGGAGAGAAGAACGTTTTTTATCTATATAAGGACTGTTGTCTAGTATGTGACTGATGATAGATGCCAACTTTTAAGAATAGCTCAAATTTGTTGAAGACAAACTGAATTGGGAGAACATAAAAAGTTATGTGGACAACAATATTCAGCCTAAAATGGATTTTGATGTGAAAAAAGAGAGTATGAGTCTTTTAGTGGAAGTTCAATGTTTTCCCACTCTAGTGCTGACATATTGGTCAACAGGCTGGTCAAATCCAAGCTATAAAATCAGAGATAAAACTTTAATTTTTAGGACCTATGTATAAAAAGATAAAAATGTTCTGAAAGCATACATTCTCTCAGTAAATAACTGGTCAAGTATTTGTTAATTTTATTGTGGTAATATAGTCCTTTTGTTTTTCTGATGCTGATTTAACCATTCAGTTTTAAGTCTAGGACTGGAGGTGTTATCAGGCATGGTTTGCTATCAAAGCCATTACCTTAGAGACATGGTGGAGCAGTGGTTAGAATGCAGTATTACAGGCTAATTCACTGCTCATACCAGCAGTTTGATCCTCACCAGCTCAAGGTTGACTCAGCTTTCCACCACTGGTGCTATTGCTATTGCTTAGCATAGCAGAGCCTTAAAGACATGTCAGTTACTAAAGAACATCTGCACATTCCTCTTTAATTTAAAAAATCAGTTTAATTAGGTCATCCTACAGAAAGTGACTCTATGGAGATAGCATGTTGATAGATGACTTTGCATGGAGTTTCCACAACATTACACTACCTGAAGGTCACCTTAATAATAAAAAAATGAAGATAAAAAAAGTAACTGTTTCATTAGCTGCATCTGAATAATGCTGTAGAGTGACCCTCATCAAATAAATAGATTACCCTCAATGGAAAATTATAAACATTTTCTACCACATATATTCTGGAAAATAATAACCCTTGAGAAAAAGATAAAAGACAGCCACTACAAAGCATCATTTTCTACAATAGTAACATTTTTAAAAGCAAAAACAAAAACTTAACATAAAAACAGAAGGAGAGGAAAACAGAATGGGGAAAAATTATGAGAGTTGTGCGCCTACTTTATTTTTATTATTTACCAAAGTCATATGCTATTTATTTATTTTGCTTTCCCTCTAACTTATACCTAGGTATCTATTAATTGGAAGCAAGAATGTGAAAGTCCTAATTATTGAACCTGTGATGGGTATTTGTCTTTTTCAAAACTTTAGCCCAACTATAAAAGTTTATTAATTGGAGCTTTATGCACAAAGATAATTATTTATGCAAAAATGCTTGCACAAAAATAATAAATCAGAAAGTCAGTAAAATACTGTAAGTTTTCTTCAGAAAGGAGCAGCTACTCAGAGAAACTCAGATCATTTCAGAAGTAGACCATGCATTACTTATTACTGATTACAGTTTTACAGGTCTAAATGCAACATATTTCTTTAGTAAATGTCATTGTGAAAATTGTACTGACCAATCCCAGGTCTCATTCCAATTATAGTAAAAGATAATAAAAATATTTTTCTTTCTTTATAAAATGCAGAATCTTTCCTTTTTTATAATCAATAACCAATAGTATTGAATTCCTTCAGCCACCTCCTCCTTACATTACTTGGGAGTTTAATTTCAACTGTAATTATTTATTATAATTTATTATTTAGTTAACATACCTTGCTTTTAGTTAAGCATGTTTTTCCAGATTCTGAAGGCTGTAATTGAAATGTCACAATACCCTGAGATAATGCTCTACATGGAAAAGAACACATATGAAAAATATAAGATAACTCACTGTATTTAGTATGTGTGTCTATAAACACACAGACACACAATCTGCATGTATTTTTCTGCTTTCATATTATTAGTAAACTAACCTATCTACTTATTATGAACTCGACTTTCATAAAAAAAAAAAAACAATTGAAAATGCTCCTTTTCTCCCATAAGTTGAGCATTCAACATATGTGTCTATAAAATTATTCCATGTTTATATGTTTGATAACCAATATGTGAGAGAAAATATTCACAGTTGATACATAACAATATTCCACAACCTCTTAAGTTGAACTAGCTAATTTCTACAAAAGATAATAAACAGATATCAGAACTGACAACATTTAAAAAAAAAAAACCAGGAGAGAAACATTTCAGTTATTTCTCTGAGCTCAAGGTCAATTATATATAAAGGACTAACAAGCACAGCTTAAACAAATTGATATAAATACATTTCATGGTGAAATAGCAGGGCTAGAATTCATTAGAAATTTAACATAATTTCTTATGGATTAAACCAAAACTATAGTGCCTTTGTGTCTTCTGGTTACTTAGATAAGAATGTCTGTATCAGCTGTAATAGCTACTTGTTGAACTTTTGTAATTCTAGCTAACTTTCACCTCTCATGTTACTGTTCCCTTCTTTTTGCCCCAGCCAATTATATGTATATACATTCTTCTTTTTTCTTAGCTCTAAAATCCAGTTATTTGATGAACATAATTCTCAAAAGCTTAAGTAACAATGTGCTTGTTAGTCTTTTATATATCATAAAACATTTGGGGGTTTTTTTCAGCAAGACTAAATATGATCATTGCCCTGGCTCCTATGTGATGACCAGGAGTGGTATTCAGCCGGTTTGGACTGGTTCAGGTGAACCAGTAGTGGAAATTTTAAGTGGTTTGTAGAACCAACTAATACTACCCCTGACTAGCCCTGCCCTTGCCTGCCTGGTCACCAGGTTGCCGCTTGCCCCTGCCTGCTCACCACTTGCCCTGCCTACCCACTTGCCCCACCCTGCCCTGCCCGCCCGCCCTGCCCAGTCACTCCTCATCTTACCATTGCTAACCTGCCTTCGCCCACCACAACCATTCCTGCCTGCCTTCTGCCGCGGCCATGATCTCCCTGGGTGAGTGATTGTGCAAGCCACGGGGGAGCCGACTCCCGACCTGTCCTACCTGCCTTCGCCACTGCAAGCGCCGGTCGAGTGTTGACTCCCGGGCCAGCCTAGGCCGCTGTGCTGCCTCCCCAATGTCCCTGGCTTGCTTCACTGCTGGCCCCACAGCTCTATCCAAAGCTTCCCTTGCTTCCCGGATCTTCCTGAATCTTCCTGCTTGCCTCTGAATGCTGGCTGAGAAGCCGCATGGCCGTGCTGGCTGGGAGAGCACTCTCCCCACTGGCTACCAGGGAAGCTGCATAGCTCTGCTGTCTGGGAGAATGGGAGAGCATTCTCCCCTCTGGTTTTCTGGGGAAGCTGCATGACTGAGCCTGCGCTGGCTGGGAGATTGGGAGAACATTCTCCCCCGACCACCAGGGAAGCCGCATGGCTGATGTTGAGTTGGCCACACCCACCCAATCACATGACCACCAAGCCACATCCACCAAGTTACACCCACCAAGCCACACCCATAGAACTGGTGGTGGTAAATTTTGAATCCCATCACTGTTGGTGACACTATTTCATTGGAAATCTTGATTCTAAATATATTTTCTTTAATTTCTACATACTTTCCTCTCTCTCTCTCTCTCTCTCTCTCTCTCTCTCTCTCTCTCAAAATCTTTTATTATATTGTTATAAAACTTGCTTACTACATTACAGGCAGTTTTCAAGTTAACAATACGGTAGTAATTGGGACCAAAATTTATGTCACTAAATTATCTACTCATAAAGCTTGACATCACATGACTGTATCACTTAGCGATGGCAATTCTGGCAATCTCTGTTGCTATCATTAAGTGAATCCCACTGGTTAGCAGGTGAGGATACACCCTAATCTATGGCAACCGAACTTTGTTACTCTCAGTCCCAGGCTTTAGTAAGATAAGAAACTATCTCCTCTGCTTCCTCTTCAGTCCCCCCCCCTCAGTTATCTCCCCCTGCATATCTGCCCTTCTGGCCACTCTGCACAATAGCAGTCCTCAGTTGGGAGTGAACTAGAAACCCAGGACTTTCAACAGACTCAGCCCCACCCCAGTGCATTTGCATTTTCTTTTTCTGTAACTTCCAATAATGGCAACTTGTCCAGTTTATAATTTCTGGCTCTTCTGCAGGGATTCAATATGTGGTTGTTGACTTCAGCATCTAAATTTGATGTCTATTTATTATTCTTGCTACCTTAACAAATAAACAACATAACTAAGGTCTTGTTCTGACCCAAACTCTTTTCCAATAAAACAAACACGAACCATTATTGACCTCACCCCTTTCCTAAGAGGTCTGTAGGGGGCGTGCATAAGCGCACCAACGTGCCTACCGTCCCTGTCCTATTGTTTCTCTTATTCTTCTTTTATTTTTCTTATATGTACCCATTTCATGTATTCACAACTATGTATACACTTATACTTATCTTGTAAACAATTGGCAAATCAAATAAATAAATAAATAAATAAAAACCAAAGGGAACAGAAACCTCTCACGAATCCCCAGTTAAAAGACTGCTGCAAACTAATTAACTTTGATAAGCACAAGCCTCGCCAAAACTGTGTGAGGCTGCCAAGAATAACAGATCAGGTTACCTAGAAATATTTTACAACACAAGAGTCTTCAAATACTGTTAGGAATATAAGTCACCTAACAGTTATTTGGGTTGGAAATATATAAACTAGGATAGACATTTTAATACTGTATCTTTAAGAAAATGCAAAAATTGTAATTGGGTGTGGTTTCTCAAATGGCCATAAGATGGAGCCAGAAACCTGGGTTGTTAGTGTTAGTCTCAGAAGAGAGTCTCAGTGATTTTCTGTTCCCTTCTATTGGAGAGAGTTGCCATTCCTCCTAATGACTGTTACTGATTGTTGATGTAAGTCTGTTACTGAACTGTTTTTTGATACTGGATTTTGATATTTGGATTATCCCTGAACTGAACACTGACTGCTTTACCTGTGAATGACTTGGACTGCTTATCTTGGACTGTGCTTAAACATTTATTGGAAGTAAAAACCTACATTTACTGTACAGTGTATCTGTGTGCTGTGTGTATGTGTTATTCTTCACTTCTCCCACTACGTCTCCCTGTATGCGCTCATTCTTCTAACGGGGAATTACCTCAACACTGGTTATGGGCCCAGGCCATACCAGGCTCAGATAACTGAGAGTTGGTGTGAATGCACAGTACTACATACAGACAGCTGTTTACTGTTTAATTGTGGTTTACTATCCTGGTAAAGATGGCACAAGACACTTCAACAAGTCTATCACTGATAATCCGGTTGGATGGAACAAACTATGTTTCCTGGTCTATGAAGTGCAGTCTACTTCTGCATAGAGAAGGATTATGGAATGTAGTTCAAGACCCACCGGATGTAAATGCTTGGGATCCAGAAAATGAGGACGATGCCAAGAAGCTTGTTGACTTTAAACAGAACAACGAGCGAGCTCTTTGTATAATTGGACTAACACTGAGTGACCAGCAGCTAGTCCATATTCGTGGAGAAGAGTCTGCTGCTAGGTGTTGGGAGAATTTGAAGAGGATTTATGTTCGTGACAGTGTAGGTGCACACATACTTCTTACACATAAACTGTTTAGAGCATGTCTTCTGAAAGGTGGAGATATGTTAGCTCATTTGAACTTCATGAAAATAACTTTTCAAGACCTACATGAAAAGGAACTGATATTTTCAGAGCTGCATCAAGTTTACATCATTCCTTCCTCATTGGATGAAAGTTATGATTACTTTTCTTCACTGGAAATCCTGCCCAGAGATAAACTGACATTGACTGACATAACTGGAAGGTTGTTAGAAGAAGCAAGAAGATGGCTGGATAGAGACCAACTGAGGAAGGAACAACCACAAGAAGAGGATTTGTCTTCAACTGCCTATACTGTTAGGAAATGTTTTTTTTTGTGGGACTAGGGGACATATAGCTAGATTCTGTAAGAAGGGAAAACAACAGAATACTGGTAAACACCAGAAGGCCAAGAAAAAGGTTAGTTTTGCTATGTCTAGCAATTCAACTGTAAACCATGATTTATGGGTTGTTGATAGTGGAGCATTGCAATGCATTACTAAAGATAGAAAAAGGTTTGTAAAGATGTCTACAAGTAAGCGACATGTATCATTGACAAATGGATGGAAGATCAAAGCTTCTGGTAAGCATACTGCGTATTGTTCTTGTATAAATGAACATTTAACTATGTTATATATACCTACACTAAAATTTAATTTACTATCAGTAAGGGTTTTAGTTAATCTTGGTTATGTAGTAACCTTTAGGGGAGATAACTGTATAATAGAGAAAGAGGGTAAAAGTATTACTGCTACATTAGAGATTGATTTATATGTGATACATGATGACCAGTTGAAGATGGCTAACTCAGTTTATAACAATGTTAAGCCACATGATGAATGTATACATTTACTGCATAGACGTCTGGGGCACATTAATTTCAAAATGTTGAAACGAACTGTCAAATTGTCAGAGGAACTAAAATTGAAATCCTGTAGCAAGTATTTAAACTGTAAAGCTTGTAGCCAAGAGAAAAACAAGGTTACTCCAGCAAACAGACTTAATGGGTTTAAGACCAAAGAACCTTTAGATGTTGTTTTTACTGATATAATTGGTCCTAAGAAACCAAGTTTAGGAGGTGCCTGCTATATTTTGAGTATTATGGACCATTACTCACAATATGGTTTCTGCTATCTCATGAAAAACAAAACAGAAGAAGTCCTATTGCTGGCGGCGGAGAGGCAGCCTCCATAGCTGCTGAAGTTGGGACAGCTCCGGTAAGGAAGAGCTGAGAGTGAAAGTTTGTCGGCT